CACGCCGAGCTGTTACCGCTGTGAGACGACTAACGGACTGGCGTGGAGCAGCTGGCTGGGCTGGATCAAATAGTCCACCTGATAATCGCCTGAGATGGGATGCAGGTGTGGAGTTAACAGCCACACCCGTGGGCGTGGGCATCCCATCAGCTCCTCGGACACCGGGCCGCGGACCATGACAGTGTGTGTGTAGACACGCTCTCCTTGTGTCTCATCGTTTGCCTCCCTGCTTGTTTATCTCATTGCTGTCTCCAGCTGTAAGTCTCAGTGTTTCCTGTTCCTTCTCTCGTCCTGTGTTCAGTGTGCTAAGTTTTGCTTCCCCCGTCTCATCACATCTTGTTCACTCCAGCTGTTTCCACTTCCCTCGTCATCCCTCAGCGTATTTATTTGTCCGTCTCCCTCAGTCTGTAAATCTTCTGTCCTCCCTCGTGTCTCCGTGTCCTCTCATTCTTTCCACGTGTTTCAGGTATTTTGTGTTTAGTTTTCCCAGTTTAGGTTTTTTATGGTTGGCTCTTCGTTTCATTTTGTTTCTCTGTTTTGTTCATTATCAGCCACAATAAACGGCTCGTTTTCTTCCAGAAGCTCAAACATACATTTGTGCTTCTGAACTGGCTAAAGACAAGACTGTGCATGAGGATTATGAAAGACTCCCTCAGACGATTCATTTATTCATGACCTGCATTCTCTGAGACTGTTTTTTGTGCTCGAAGATGAATTCTCATGCTTCTCATTCAGAAAGCGTTTATGAAGCAGCGCAGCCTGAAACAATCATCGGTGTAAGTCAGTCAGTCAAGCAAAAAAGGGGTGGGCAACCAAAACCGCCCCCAAGGGGGCCAAAGGCCCCCCATTCCCTGCAGCTGTACCAGTGCCACAGGTTTGGGAAACTGGGGCTCAGCCAATCCCGTTTCCTGGTCTCAAATCAGCTAGGCCCCTGCTGGTTCCCGCCCCAGTACCTGGTTCTCAGGTAGGGACAGCGAGTGCCAGATCATCGCTTATGCCACTCCAAGGTAAGAGCAGCCATGACCCAGCCTGCTCCTGCATCCGTACCTACTCCTTGGGTGGGAGTGTCTGGTCGGCCCCGGCACCCGTTCTCGTTCCCAAGGTGCTAAAATATTGTCGCCAACAGTACTGAATGTTGCACTGGGGCCGTGCTTTGATCTGTGAGATGATATCTCCAGTCTCCCCAGTGCCTAAGCTGGTTGTAAGGGATGCAAAGAAGCAACTTTGATAAGATTTGAGAGAATGTGAGCAGCTCTTACTCTAGCTGCCACAGGGTGGACTGTATAGGCATATTAAACTCTACCATTTTCCAGTACCTGGCTCTCCTTGTTCTCCTTTGTCTCCCCTTTCACCCTTTGGTCCTGGAAGGCCGTTATCTCCATGGTCTCCTGGAAAGAAACATACATGGATTATAATATCTGATGATGCAAGCATGCAGAAAAAAGCACACACGGCCAGAGCAGTTAGAAGACGACAACAAAACAAACCAATTTTATCACTGACTGTTACTCCACATCATATTTTCATAAAATGCATAAAATTTTGATTATAAAAAAGAAAGTGAAAATGTAAAGAGCATTACATTTCTACACAGGACTTGTGTTGTTGTTGTAGAAGTTGTGATCAGTTGGAATGTCTTGTTAATTCTTTCTAATGTGAACTATTTTTCGTGTTGTTTTTCTATATTATTTATTATATTTACACACCAATATACTATAAAAAAAACTATAAAATTCAGTTTTTTGAAAAATAAAAATACAAACTTGTTCCCTAAAAAAGTAATTTCATTTAAAGGCGATTTTCTAATTGGGGCACATTTTATAACAACGTAAAAGTAAATAATCAAGTTGTTTCCACAACATATGATGATATTGTGCAAAATCCATGAGCTGCCAAAGTTAAGGACTTAATAATCTTTCAAATACTTAATAAATTTAACGTCTATTTTTATTTTTGTTGACTTTATTACGGAAGAAACTCGTGCCGTAGAAGCTACACATCAGGAAAACAAAGTCACCTCAACATGGTTTAAAATAGTAAGTTTGTGCTTGATATTAGTAACATGGTTTATTCAGCAAAATATACACTGTAGACATTAATGTTTAGATCAGTTATATTAACCCTGTAGTTTCACCACAGGAGTAAAAGAGCTGATATCTTAAGTTTACATCGATCTCAAAATCGAGTGGGAGTTAGCGACTTCCACTTGGTCAAACAGCTGAACTCTCGTCTCTCTATTCAGGAGATTCAACTTCACCGTAACTTATCGGTTGGGTACTAGAAATTGAAAAACGGATGCTCTGTCTGTGCAACTT